TTGGGCGAAGAGCTGGAGGAGTTACTCCCCAGGGGTTTTTGAACTAGTCCAGATTCTAGGAGGAGTTTCTCCCCTAGTTGGCGGAGTTTCTCCCCCAACGAGGGGTGTATAGATTGTGGAGTCTCTCCCTATGGGTTTTTTAAAAGGTTTGCGTCGCTGCCTGCAATAATTCTGTCTGCACTGAGCTACACTGAGCCAACAGCAATTCACCATCTGCGATGCAGGTCTCCTTGTGGTCGCCTGGAGCTCAGTGGCATAGGTCCGACTGCCTGCCTAGAAGTCAGCTTGAGCCCACAACCGCAGCTTTCTTAGCTTTCTCTCAAGACTCGGCATCATGTCCAGACCTGAGTCAACACAGGATCCCTCGTTTCAAGCGGAGTACGAGGAATTCTGCCAACGACGGATACGTGACCAACTTCCGCATGTCACGTATCGCAATTTCCTGCGCCAGTGGAGGCGCTCCGCTCGTGCTCACGGCGAAAGCTATCCTGCATATAAAGGAGTCTCCAAAGGAACTGGTGGACAGGAAGAGTTAGGAAGTGGAAAGGGTGGAGTCACTCCCCCTCCTCCTCCTTCCAAGAAGAGAAGTACTGGCCAAAGCGAGGGTGGAGATACTCCCCCTGCAGCAAAGGCCAAGAGTGGAGATCCTCCCTCGGGGGACCCAAACACGGAAGCCGCGATCAAAGTTCTTCAGTCAGCTGGTTATACCCCCTTTCCCAGTCTGATTACAGACTGTGATGGGAACATCACTGATCTGAACAATCACCGAGTAACGGTGACAGTGACCCAGCAGCTGCGAGATGGGCTCACTCAGGTGGAACGACCCTCTCCGGAGATAGCCAATGCTCTCCTGGAGACCTTCCTTGCCTCTCGCCGGGGACTTGCCAATGAGCCTCTGCAACCAAAGCTTGGCTATCCCACAGCTGAGGAGAATGGGTGGTTTCGATTTGAGTATTCTTCACCGAACATTCTTCCTGCAGGGGACAGTGAGGTTGCATTCCACGGAACACACTTGGAATGTTTGCATGGGATACTTGCTACAGGCAGGCTACTACCTTCGACCCCTGACCTCTCCGGCACGCGAAGCTTCGAGGCACGCCCAGGAGTGTATCTCCACAGGGTGTCAAACAGGCATCTTGCTGCCGGATACAGTTGCATGGTGAGGATAGGACCTCGGCACGTTTTCGTGCGACCAATGTTTGAGGTGGAGGCTGCGCACTCTGGATCGCAAAAACGTGGTAAGAAAACAAACCAACTTATATACTCCTACGATGCAGTCAAAATCCGAGCGCTGCTACTGCAAATATCGACCAAGGATACACTCACCTTAGGTGAGTACCTCCGCGAGTGGAGTGGCTTGTTGGAGATACCACTGAGACAAGCACGGGCATCCTTCTCGGCGTTGGGATATGAACTGCCTGGCGAAGCCTCGTCAAGTGGAGCTAAGGAAGGTGGAGATGCTCCCCTTCCAGACAGTGAGCAGGCGTCCAGCTCACAGGGTGGAGTTCCTCCCCCGACAAGGGCGTCGGACGACCATAGCTCCACAACGCCACGTAGCTCCACTATCGTGGCCTGGGAGGGACAACCCGGCGATCTAGGGGGCTATTGCACTGCCTCTACGAAGCCTGAGAGCAACTTCTCGTTCGAAGTCTCGAAGGCCCTAGCAGCTTCGCTCCGGCACGGACACAAACCCTACATCAGCGTGACTTCGGCTGGTTGGGCCAAATTAGAGGACGTTTTGAGCTGGCCAAGAGTGCAGGCACAGCACGCCACGGCAGGCGACCTCATGGAAGTCGTCCGGAGTAATGCAAAAGGCAGGTACGAGCTTGGCGATTGCCAAGGCCAGAAGTACATCAGAGCCCTGCAAGGACATTCTCGCTCCGATGTGGACTCCAACGAGGTGTTGGAGGAACTCACGGAGGAGATGCTCCCCAAAATGCTCTACCATGGCACATTCTGGTCCTTGTATGACTCCATACGTCAACGCGGCCTTTTGCCTCAGAACAAGATCTCCAAGGGCCGCGGCAAAGGCGGACGTGGCAGAGAGGGACGACAGCATGTTCACTTCGTCTCGGACCGGGACTATGGGAAACCTGGTGTTTCTGGTTTCAGAGATAGCTCGTCGATGCTGATAGCTGTCGATCCACGCAGGGCCATGCAGGTAGGGGTGCAATTTTTCCGTAGCAAGAACGGCGTCATTCTCACCCCTTCCGAAGTGCCCCCCTCTGTCATAGAGTACTACCAGAGCCTGAAATCGGGCACTAAGTACGGAGGCGACAACAGGCCGCTCTGATCGTGAGGACTCCCCCCTATTGGTGGAGTTCCTCCCCAAACAGATAATGCAGCTGCTTGTGCAAAAATCTTTGTTATGAGACTGAAGGTTACTTCACCTTCATCACCAGACAGCAAATATACCCTGAGGTCGCATGCGAAGCTCCGCGCGCAGTCACGGGCCTGGATCTGCAAGTGAGTTGTCAGCCAAAAGTCTTCTGGAAGCTTACTGGCATTCTCGCACAGGCTCAACTCGCCAGCTGTCTAGACTGTAGAAGCCATGCCTGAAACACCGAAGAAGAATGGCAACAGAGCGACCTCCCGCACCCCTCCTCCAGTGAGACGTCGGCCTCACATTTCCAGGTCGCCACCACCCAGTGACTCTATCCGGGAGTCCGACTCCGACGACACCGCGGTCCCTACAGGGGCCCCTACAGCAGCTGGGCCTAAGGGTCCTCCGCCTCCGAAGCCTGTTAACTTGCCAGGAAGTGGATCCAGCACAGATCGGATATCGGGCCCAGGTAAGGCACCTGGAGTGCCAGCGAAAGGAGGAGTCCCGGGAGGAGTTTCTCCCCTGGGACCACCGCCAAAGGCCGTGACCTCAACGATCTCCCACCCGGGGACAGGAGAGCTTCATGTCACTAGCACAAGTCCGACAGGAGTTGCTCCGTCATCTACCAATAGCAACAACGGGCTGGAAATGGCGCCTGGCCTACCTTTACTGAGTGTCTCATTGCCTCACCGCCTTTATTATAACATTAGCTAGTGGTTCGTACTGAGCCCTCACAGCGAGGCTAGACACCCCGCGAGACAGCAGAGTGCAAAAAGAATGTCGCCAATCAGTCAGCGATGCATTGCAAATCAGCCGGAGAACTACAGCATAAGTGCCAGAGTCTGCATCCAGACTCACTGAAGACACGTCTGATCCCGACTTCATTGCTTGCAGCCTTGAGGGGCGGAGCGTGTGCGAGTGCTGTGTTAAGGCACGGCTCGTCATGAAGTGACCGCGCAAGTAGCAAGCAGAGCAGTAGGTCGATCCCTCGCAAAGCGTGGACGTCAAGTTTCACCACAGACAGTATCCTCCCGCTGCGTGTGAATGAAATGTTCCATATGGTTGATGACGGTGGCAATGTGAGGGGGGATGACCGGCGAAGACGACGATAGTCATGCTGCTGAGGACGACGGCGGTGATGGCAATGCTGCCGCTGGTTTTCGGTTTTGCTGTGGTGCTGATGATTGTGGTAGCGGCCACAGTGGTGTTGAGGTGGTGGTAATGATGTGGCGACCTTGTAAAATCTTCTGGGCAGCCGCAAAGCCGCCAGGTGCCTAGCTGGTGCTCTTCCGCGACCCAGCGCAAGGCACGCAGCTTGCCTTTGGCTGAGAAGCGTCTTTCCCCCTTAAGGGGGGCATCCATCTGCATGATTCCTCACTTTCTTTACGGCTCTGGTGGCTTTTGACTGGAGACTTCTCTGGACTTCGGACTGCCACCAGAGGCTTTGTGATTTGGGAGGTTCCGCGTGCACCTCGAGTTGCGTAAGAAGTTCAAGTGGCACGGTTCATCGCGACTTTTTCTAGGGTGCCTTCTTAGGGCCTATGGGCTGGTACAGCGGGTTCCGTCTTGAGTGCATCTGGCTTGTCCCAGGGAAGGGGCAGCGCCAGGCTCCGAAGTGTGCACCCTGGAACTCTCCAGCCATTATTTCATCCTTTTCGGGGTGTTTGCAATCCTTTCAAGACTGCGTCATGCTTCGTTTGCTCATCTTCTTCATTGTAACGACGACACTTGTAGGAGTGTCACACTTGGCAGAGACTCGAAAGAAGCAATGTATGATGCTTGAAGTAAAGCTACTGGAGCCCGAGCCCGAGATTTGAGAGTCGAAGTTCAGCCCGACAGCTCTTTTACACATCAAGGCTCTGAGCCCGGGAGCCAGAAGTCTCGAACTGTCGAAATGCTGGCAGATCTAACGAAACATGCAGTGCAGTTGCAGAGCCCAGGAGCCCATGAACAACGGCAGTCTCTCGAAGTTGCAGGAACAAGCAGTAGCAGTTCCGGCTACTAAGTACTACTTCTTGTAGGCACAGGAGCAGGCCGCGGCATGTGGAGCTTGTTCTGCTTGGTGTTGTGCTCTTGTACTCTCGTGGGCAGCGGGCGCCGTGCCTTCAGCAACGGATCCGAGCTGAGAGCTGCACTGCTGGAGTGGGAGTTCCAGGCGTTGAACAGGTCCCGGCTCTTAGCAATTTGGGGCCCAATCTCAGAGTGGGATGTCTCAGCTGTCAGCAACATGAGCGGCCTCTTCGAGGATCTAGCAAGCTTCAATGCGGAAATCCAGCGCTGGAACACCTCAAGGGTGGCTGATATGAGCCACATGTTTCGAAATGCTTTTTCTTTTAATCAACCGATTGACATGTGGGACACCTCAGCAGTCCGCGACATGAGCTACATGTTCTATCAAGCCTTTTCGTTCAACGGGTCGATAGGTCCATGGGACCTGTCGGCAGTACAGGCCACGCGATACATGTTCAAGTCCGCTTCGCGGTTCAATCAGCCAATTGGAGCTTGGGTTACTGGCAAAATAGAGGACATGAGCCACATGTTTGAAGGTGCCCGGGCCTTCAACCAAGCGATCAGCAGTTGGGACACATCAGCAGTCAGGAACATGAGCCACATGTTCCATGGCGCCACAGCTTTCAACCAGCCACTTGGCACTTGGGATACCTCTGCAGCTAGGGACATGAGCCATATGTTCCATGGGGCCTATTCCTTCAACAAGCCAATTGGTTCGTGGAACACTTCTAGCGTGACGAGTATGACGCACATGTTTGCGAGTGCGACTTTCTTCAACCGTCCGATTGGCGCTTGGAAGACGTCCGCCGTGAATGACATGAGCCACATGTTCAGCTTTGCCAAAGACTTTAACCAGGCGATTGGGACGTGGGATACGTCCGCCGTTGTGGACATGAGCTCAATGTTTCTCAATGCCAGCACATTCAATGCGATGATTGGTTCTTGGAACACGTCGGGGGTGAGGTTCATGCAAAACTTGTTCAGGTCTGCAGCTTTGTTTGACAAGCCCCTTGTCTCCTGGGACATTTCGTCGGCAGTGAATTTGAGCTGCATGTTTTGCTGGACGGCCTCTTACAATCAATGGGTTGGAACTTGGAACACCTCAGCCGTGCGCGACATGAGCTACATGTTCTACCATGCTTCCTCTTTTAATCAACAGGTGAGTCTCTGGGACACGTCACACGTCAGTGACATGAGCCACATGTTTGGGCATGCTGCGGCCTTCAACAAGCCGCTTGACTCCTGGAACACGTCTGCTGTGAGGGACATGGGCTGTATGTTCTGTGGGGCTTATGCATTCAATCATCCCGTTGCTACGTGGAACACTTCCTCGGTGAGAGACATGAGCTACATGTTTTGGAATGCCGTTGTATTCAACAAGCCCTTGGGTGTCTGGGACACTTCAGCAGTCACCAACATGAAGGGCATGTTTGGATTCAGAATCCCCGGTTGCCCATCCCGTCGCCGTCGTGACGCTGACTGTCCTTCACCGGTGTTTGACCAGCCGGTTGGTGACTGGAATACTGCAGCCGTGACTGATATGAGCTCCATGTTTCAAGGCGCAAAGGTCTTTAATCAGCTGATTGCTGGATGGGACACATCTGCGGTCTACAACATGAGCCACATGTTCGATGGCGCTGGGATGTTCGACCAGCCCATTGGAACGTGGAACACCTCGGTTGTCCAGGACATGAGCTACATGTTTCATCAGGCCGCTGCCTTTAACCGGCAGATTGGTGCCTGGGACACTTCGGCAGTTACTACCATGAAATACATGTTCGCCGGTGCCTTGCGTTTCAACCGACTGATCAACACATGGGTGACAGGAGCAGTTCGCGATATGAGCTACATGTTTTTCGGCTGGCTTGATGGTCAGGTAGCACTTAGCTTCTTCAACCAGCCGCTTGACGCTTGGGACACTTCGGCCGTGGAAGACATGCGCGGAATGTTTTCACACGCAGGGCGTTTTGACCAGCCATTGGGAACCTGGAAGACATCGAAGGTGCGAGACATGAGTTCCATGTTCTACTTCGCAGACTCTTTCAACCGGCCGATAGGCTCCTGGAACACATCAGCTGTGACTGCCATGGGTAGCATGTTTGCACTTGCACGTCGTTTCAACAAGCCCCTTGCTGCGTGGGACACTTCCTCAGTGATTGATATGAGCAACATGTTCTCTTCATCTCCTTTCAATCAACTGATTGGTGCATGGAATACCTCCTCGGTGAGGGACATGAGTGGCATGTTTTCGCAAGCGTCCTTCAATCAAGACATTGGCAATTGGAACACCTCTGCGGTGAGAACAATGAGGCTCATGTTTTCTCTAACTACCTCTTTCAACCAAAAGATCGGCAATTGGAACACCTCGGCGGTCCGAGACATGAGCCTCATGTTCGATCGCGCGACAGCCTTCAATCAATCGATAGGTGATTGGGATACCTCGGCAGTGACGAACATGTTGGGGATGTTCCAGCAGACTGTGGCTTTCAACCAGCCGATCGGTGCTTGGAACACCTCGGCTGTGAACAGCATGTCCAGAATGTTCTCCAACGCGTGGGCTTTCAACCAGTCGATTGGTGCCTGGGACACTTCAGCAGTGGAAGACATGAGCCACATGTTCGACGGAGCTTCAGAGTTCAATCAGCCCATCGGAAATTGGAACACCTCGGCCGTTAAGGACATAAGAGATATGTTCTCTGGTTCCCATTTCAACCAGCTTATTGGCTCTTGGGATGTTCAGCATGCTCGTGGAGCAGATGAGGTTCAATCTTTCTGGAGGCTCTCCAAAGCGGCGAAGTGTTCCATAAGTCAGTCATGGCTTCTCGCACGGCCGGTTGTTGGCAGCCTTGCCTGTCCCAGCTGTCAAGAGATAAAGGTTGCCTGCCCCGCCGGCTCAGAGTTTGCCTGCGTGGCGGGGACGTGCAGACCCATCAACGGCAACTTCATCGAGCTTGGAAGGGCAGTCTGGGCTCCCAGCCCCAGCACAGCTGTCGGCTCCGGATGTAGGGAGACATGTGCAGCTTGGGAAAACTGCACTGGCTTCCTTCTGCTGAAAGACGGCGGCTGCAGCACGCTGCATGGCGGGCTGCCGATCAAGCGCGGAGAAGGACATGCTCTGGCCGCCACTCTGGCCTTTGTCAAAAGAGATTGCTCCTTGTTTTCCTGCCCAGTGGGGAGTGTGCCTGTGAAACAGTCCGGCAAAGACGATTTCAATGCTGCGACTTGCTGCACTTGCCTGCCACACCTGGTGGAAGAACGACGAGGAGCTGCTCTGCACTGCCGCTGCCCTCCGCACCAGTATGGCCATGCCCCCGATTGTTACAGCTGTGGCCCTGGTTCATATCCGGACCGCTACGCCCAGTTGAACGCCCAGTTCGGCTATCGGCAGCCTTGCTTGGAATGTGAATCTGGAAGATTCTCTCCCGGCAACGTTAGTGAATGCTCTACTTGCCCTTTCACAATTCATGAGGACCAGTGCATCTGGTGGCCCACTTTGCTGTGGGCACTTGGGACTCTGGCCGGGATTGGCACTATCTTCCTAATGATCTCTCTGGTGGCCAGGAAACTGTCGCCGATAGCCCTGAGGTGGCACGAGCACAAGCAGGAGGAATTGCGCAAGCAGCGGTTGGAACAGGAGTTGCAGGCCTTGGCAGTTCTGCGCGCACAACAGAGCCGGGTTGCCGGAGTCAGCATGCGCTACTTGCTCTCAGACGATTTCGCAGCTTTGGCAAGGCAGCGGACGGGAATCGTTGATCCGACTTTCAACGACATGAAAGATGCTTTCTGGTTGTGTGTGAACCCGCTTGGAAAGGAGATCCTGTGCCCACGTGATGGTCGCCCGGGTTGTGCGCTGGTGGACTGGATTCCGCGAGATGATGCCAAGGAGCAAACACATTTTATGTCATGGACCTGGCGCTACAGCTTGTCTCAAGTGCAGAGCGCACTGGAGATGTACCAGGCAAATGCTCCTATGGCAGTCGTGGCGAGGCATGTGTCCTTTTTCATGTGCTTCTTCGTCAATAACCAATTTCGCATCGTGGTGGAGGGCAGTGGTACTGGCAGCGAAGATTTGGAGCGCGTGTTCCGACAGAACTTGGTCCGAACTGGCCAGATGATTGCGATCCTGGACACATGGGTACAGCCGGTGTACCTCAACAGAGCCGGGGCCTCAGTTGGCGAGTTCACGTGCTAATTGAAATCGCGGCGATTCCGCTCCACCCGAATCAATCGAAGACACTAGCAATCGACCCAGCCCTGAAACCTCTGCGTTAAACTTGCCCCCTACTTTATGCGGCTTTGTAAAAAGCTGACCACGAAACCTTTCTGCGTCCTAAGACACTGAGTCCCCAAAGCCTGCATTCTCGGGAAATTTTTCCATGCTGCGAAAGTCTGCGCAGGGCCGAAACAGATCACGAAATTCTGCTTCGTACCCGGGTCCAACTCACATGCCGCGAAATGCTGCCCTGTGCCTGGGGCCAACCAATTGGTCACGAACATCTGCCCCGTATTCGGTGCCGAATCAAATGCCAGGAAACTCTGACGAGTGCGTCACATGTTTTTCGGTGTACCCGCCATATGATACTAGTACGGAGAAATCGGTTCAGCACGCGGCTAGGTCTCAAACATGTAGTTCTGTCGCCCAGACCCTTACGGCGCCCTCTTTCAGTCCTTCCAAAACATGGACCACCGAACAGAACCCTCAAAGGCCTTTCGCAACCACTGAACCGTGATCTCCAGGTTCCAAACCTTCCCGACTGTCCTTCAGTTGGGGAAGTACCTGCACCTTCCAATTCAAGTCGGCCCCAACCAATCGCAAACCCGTGAGTCGGCCCTTGACTGCAGCGGTGGTTCGGACAAACACACATCCAAAAATAACACTTGACTAGCTTTTAAACCACACTGCGATTGACCGGAGATACATGCCACAGCTTACTATACCTATCTCTGGAGCCCACTGACTCCTCTTCTGTATCTTTATCCATGATATCTCTATGTGGAGAACAATGCCCAAGATTTTTGGGCTTCTTTCGACACCAGCCATGGAAACGACCTATGGCCCTATGGTGGATCTGTCTCCCAAGACTAACCTCCCGAGCAACTGGTCTCCGGGGTCGGGATCCCCAGATGTTGGGGTTTTGAGGATTACCTCGATGAGACTCGCTGAAGCCAGCGCCATTTCCCCAGGATCAAGGCGATCTTCTTCAGATCATGGGCATTCATGGGCGACTGCTCATATCCCCCTCCGCCTGAGAATGCTTTGTTAGGAGTCGGATGTGTTGATGTTCATGCAGGTGAGCAGAATGTCATCAAAGTGGCACAAAGCCCGTCAAACACCCAGCCGCTTACATGTTGAAACGCCGATCTCGTGCGTCAAGAATCGGTGCATGTCGGCTCCACCTGCTGTCCCCATCCTTCTACTCGGAGAATTTTAGATTTTAGACACGCTCATAAGGTTGCTTTGCTCAAGGCCAGGCAGGCTAGAGCAGAATCTTTCCAGGCCAGAAAAACTGGGGAGGCTCTGTTCTCTCCCTGAATGTGTGCTTTGTGGTCCAACCTGGCAGATAAGTTCGCCCAGCCCCTGTCCACGAGATTTCTTCAGGCCCAAAGAAATCACCATGCAGGCAGGATTTCGAAGGCTCTGTAAAGTTAAAGCATTTGGTCCTATCTGGTTCGCAGTTGGTGCATGCCGTGCCAAGCCAGGAAAGATTTCTCCGTGGGGTCGTAGCCGCGTGGCTGTCGGTTGGGGCTTCTGACTTAAATCCATGTAATTCTAGCACAAAAGACATACCGGGCGATTGGCTCTGTTGCGCCCGAATCGCTAGTGAACTGGCTCCCACGACTAAACAATTGCGACCAATGAAGGTGTGGACTATCTATGAGCAGTTCGTCGCTTCTTCGATGGACATCCCAGTAACCTTCCTCATGCCGGAAGCTGCTTCCAAATCACTGCAGGAACAGATCGAACGTGGTGCTGAAGGCATCAGCCACATCATTGAATCCGTGAGCATGGTGGATGTAGCAACCGCGAAAGCTTGGAAGCCAGAAGACGAGACCAAAGTGAAGTCAGTAATCCAGGGCAGTGTAGGCTTCGAGCAGGTGAATCGACACGTCGTGGAAGTCATGGTCCAGTGGATAGGGAATGCAGTGAAGGGTCAATTTCAGCAGCGGGTGCACGAAGCTCGTCAAAGCCGGGCTCGAGGTCCAGGGAAGACCATCACTTCGCTGTGATTGATACTGTTCTCAGATGTCCGAGAACGTCGTCATGGCTGCTATTGCTACTGGCCACTTGTGGACTACGGCTTTTGAGCTTGCTTTTGGCGAGCACGACTAGTGCCGTAGTAATCATAATTCATAATTCATTGTGCCAGGCTTTCCAAGGAGCTTATATAGATCAGTCTTGGCTTGGGCAAGGACACACCGCGACGCCCATCTTTGATGTGAAGAGTTCCCTTGCATTTTTGCCAGAAGTGCAGTGTACAGCCCGTTGCAGGGTTGGGGGTTGCGAGGTGAGGTACACATTCACTCACCCACAACCTCAGACTCATGCGTCGCATGCAAGGAACTTTGACAAGTCTTGGTTTGGGTGAGGTCAAACTGCGAAGCCCATGTTTGATGTCGAGATCTTCCTCGCAAGTGGCAGATTCCATCGCAGAGTTTGTGGTGTTGCGATGAGGTACAATGTCCTTCGCCTAAAGCTTCAGAGTAATGCCAAAAGCTCAATCTGGTGATTTGTACAAAGCCTTTTTCCGCCACCCACGGCTGGATGGAGGACTCAGGAACATAAAACATTGACCGGGCGACAACTACGACTAACTTTTCAAGGCTACAGCTGGCTAAGGCTTGCACATGCCAATATGGCTAGGTGGGTTGCAAAAAAGCAGTGAGGATTTTATCATTCGGCAGGATGAAGACTCTAAACCCTATGAGCCTGTAAAGTGTAAAGCTTGAACCCCAAGCTGTGAGGGTCGAAACCGTTTGAACCTGTGGGAAGGCCCGGTAATCTAGCATAACAGTATAAGAACATCGTAGACTATTTTCCTAGAACAACATAGTATGGTTTGATACTACATATGACAGTAGAAGTTAATGGTGCCATGTAACTATAATAGTTTGTTTAGTAAGGTATGACAGTTCTAATCTAGTCAGCCAGGATCTGGCTCGGCTTGAAGAGCGACGCCTGCACTGGGGAGGCGGCAGCCCAAGTGGCTCTAGAGTGTCGATTAGGAATCTTGCAGACCTCCTTCCCAAACGGCTTCGATCTCCGGAAGCAGCCCGACACTTCGCTCCCCAAATCCTTCATTTTTCGAGCACCCATGTACACACACACACACACACACACATGCACATGCATGTGCGTATACTTATGCTGCTTTTACTTATGCTTAAGCTTATACTTAAACTTATGCTCATGTTTATGCTTATACTTACACCTACACCTACACCTACACATACATACATACATACATGCATACATATATGCTTACATGCATGCTACATGAATACAGTGTGCCATGCATACACACTTACAGGCATACACGCATACATGCACATACACATACATGCATGCATGCATGCATGCATGCATGCAGACACATCTGCTTACATGTCTGTTTGTGTGTGCGTGTGTGTGTGTGTTGAATGGGCAGGGCCGGATGTGTTGGCATGTTGGCATACTTATAGCAGTGTTTGGGCAGGCTCCAAGATGCCTCTTGAAGCCTCCATGCTGCCCTCCCCCCACCAGCGATCTTGGTTCGTTTTAGCTCCCGCGCAAAATCAAAGCACGACACCATCAAGAGGATGCAGTCAAAGCCACGGCGATCGCTTCTTGCAAAGCGACGCGGGTGTTGGTTCGCTTCTGTGGCCGGAGGAACTTACTAAGACCCAGTCGATCTCTCCTCCGTCGTCAGCGCTTTCGCCCGAGGTGCCATCCGCACCGAGCTGGAGAGGTGCCACCGGTTTTAAACGGCGGGGGCTTCGGCTTCGTCGTTCGGAACTTCCGAACCCTGTTCTTTTTTGGAAGGGTCTTCTCATGGGCGGCATCGGCCTCCCGATGCTAGAGTTCAGATGTTTTGCGGTGAAGGTGTTCCAGGCATGGTACCATCGCATGCCGAATCGAAGCGGCTGTTACTGATGCTTGGGCTTCGATTGCTTTACGTTGGTTTCATCCGCTCGGAGTGTCACAGGAAGGAGGGTCTGCCTTGGTCTTCAGCAAGCTGCAGCTCCGAGACGTGGTCCAATTCATGGCTTTCACCTGAAGTGTTCGTGGGCAGCGACTCAAGCGGCATGATGCTGTGTAGCTCCGCCAAGCGCCTTCATGGCGGCCCTGGGGCGTCCCAGCCGAGGACGAGCAGGGAAGGAGTAGCTGCTGCAAAGAGTGCTTGCGCCAGGCCTTGAGTGATCCAATGTCAACATCAAAGTGCTTTATACAATTCCCGCCTGTCTTTGCAGCCTGCAGAGCTGTAACGATTGTGTGCAATGGACCAGGTCCCAATGTGCAAAACGTAGGCCGGTAGCATGGGAAAGACGAGAGCCTAGATGCCGATAAAATCATCGAATCGAGGAGGCTCGGAGCACTCGCCCTCGGGGCCATGGCCCTAGTTCTGCTCGATTTCCTGGTGCTTTGCAAGCCTCCAACCTCAATGTTTGGCTTGCGACTTTGTCAGCTGGGCGGGTGGGACAAAGTGTTTGGCCTTCGGTCACTCTTCTATCAAGTGGTATTGCAGTCTACAGACTCTGGACAGGCTTTCAAACGCACGAGCTGTCCATTCAATCTATTCAACTGCTGAAATCGATGGCAGCTTTCCAAGTGGATGAATTTGCGGATGAGAGAATGCTGCAACAAGAGGTCAAGTCTGAGCAAGGTAGTATTTTCCGAACATGATGTGACAGATTGCACGCTTTTGGTTGAAGGGTAAACTGTGGGGAAGACGCTGCCGGGAGGTAGGCTTCAACTTCGTTTCACGACGTTTGTGAAGCACACCCAGGCTCTTCTCATCACCTTATCGCATGCCGACCTCTTTGCGGTGCTGTGCAGCCCGCGAAGAACTTCAGGAAGTCTGGTGGCTAGGCACTGGGGGTGGGTTTGGCTGGGGGTACTTGTAATTGTCGGTTTGCCCTAAGCATGTCAAAGTCGAGCCCCCCACAGTGATTGCTGGCCCGAAAATCCAGAGCAGGACGTGGGGCTTGGTCAGTGAAAGAAAACCGACAAATCAGTGGGGGTGCAACAGTCTTGAAGTCTTCCTAGACCGCGAGCCACTTCTGCCAAAGGCGTGCGGCCGAACCAACCTACAAAAACCCCGTTGACTACCGGTACGATATGGCAGATCAGCAGGTGCCTTCTGAGAGAGAGATTGATGTTGTCCGCCGGCAGCTTGATGGCTTTGTATTTCCGTTCTTTTGTTCGATGCGCTGGCAGGCATACATGCGGCAATTGGCTTGTTCTTCTCGGTTATACCTTCAGCATCAGTCTGTAGTGCTGGATCAAGCATAAACTCATGCCAGAAAGGAAACCTACAAGTACGTGGGGTTGAGGCAACGTGCTGCTTGTAGCCTTGTAGCTGGTGCGCTTAAACTGCAGTTGTCAACATTTGACATCGCACAGTGCCAGATAACCGTCTGCGGCAGGATGACACACAGTCCCTGACTCGTGACGTGGTGGTCAACGACATTCGAGCATCTCGTCATTCCAGTTACTGCGTTGGCTGCATCGAGGCTTCTTTGCAGTGTCTTATGGAAAGCCTTTTGTCACTGGGGCACGGGCTGTCGAAAAGGCCTGAGTATGCCTCGGAGAGAAGTGTTTGTGACTGAACAATGCTTCGAACTGTGCAATCTACTTAACTAAACTTTAGTTGCTTCCGGCTGTGAGGATCTGAACGAGCTCTTGAAGCTGCGAGACCCTATTTGCCCAGATGAGGTGGCCAGGTTGCATTGATGCTGTGGCCGCAAGGCTGGTAGAGTTAGAGTTTGCGAAGTGTCGCTAACCTATGGTGCTAACCTATGGTAAGATGCGGGGTGTTGACAACACCATTCGCTTCCCGAAGCTTGCCTTCCGTGGAGCCTTCCTGAACCCAGAGCTTTGCGCCCACAGAGCACGAGAACAAGACAGGAAAACGTCCTTCTGATGGCCCTTACGCTGGACAACGGCACTCGCATTGAACGGCCCACGGCGCAGGCCACCGTGTTTTCGCAAAGACTTGGAGGCACTTTGGGGCTTCCATGTGGTTTTGAGCAGCACAACTGCGTTGCAGGACTTGCGAATGCTCAAGCCGACGAAGCTACGCCCCGTGGTCTTCCACTGGAGGGATGCGAGCAGCTTGGCCACCCGATCGGCGAGAACCATCACTACATTGTAACATCCAATTGCAGGTCCGCGCTTCCAAAGCCCGGCTGTAAATTCCCGCCAACTCTTCCAAGAATGGAAAGATGTGACGTGATGTGACAGTATCCTTTACGCTGCGAGAGCTTGGAATCGCCTGAGGCAAAGATCAGACAAACGCTCCGAAAGAATACGACGAGACGCTCGGTCAAAGTGGCTTTCGCTTCGTGGCTTACCAGTACCCCAGGAGAGTCGTCGACCCAAGTGTCTGCGGGCCTGAAGCCGAGCTAGATCACCATCCGTGAAGCCGCAGCCCAGGATCATTCAGAGACTGCTGACTGCAGGGCCACAGGACTTCGAGGAGTTGGTTCGCGCCAACTGGCGGCTGATCTGAAAGAGAAGAGAGTTGAAACCGCGCTTCTTGAGCGTGCGAGGGTTTCCGATTCCCCTGCGATCCAGCAAGACGCTGCGGCCCCCCAAGCAGACACAAGTGCTTGCAAGGATCTGCCCTACAGCCGAGGAAGATGTTCGATCGAGGTTTCTACTTCCGGCTGTACAATCTGCGGGAGCGCTAGTGTCTTGGAGTTTTGCCTTCGGCCTTCGGGGCATGTTCTCTCAGAAGGATTAAATGGCACGCTAGCCTTCTCAAGATATGCCAGGTTAGGGCCGCGTTTCTGGATCATGTTGTAGGAGCAGGCTCACAAGGTTCGCAGATGATGGCTGGTACGCTTCTGATAGAGCCTGCCTCCGGGTTGCATACCTCTTTTTGTGCATCTCTTTAGGGCCTTAGGGGTTCGAGGGAAATAGTTTGCGGGATTCTCAGCCTCTAGCTCGGAAGGAAGACTGCGAAGACCCGCAGCTGAAGCAGAAAATGGAGAACTTGGAGAAGTACACTCTTGAGCCTTGTCCTTATGAGTATTTGTTGGTTGTGGACGAAACACCCCGGACGGATTGCCATGCCGGGCTGAATGATGGTCATCAGTTTCTGATAGTGTGTAATTGGGTTGTCGTTTAGCTGCCTGGCCATGTTGTGCCTTCCTTGTGCCATGTCCCCTCATCTGAGCTTTGTTGCTCATTGGTTTTGTTATCGGATTTCGTAGCTTCGCGACACGACCTCTGCGGTGATGCTGGCTTGAGTTCCTTCTTGCCGATGTCTTTCAATGTCTTATATATGACGGGAAATGTAACTGTTTTCATCCCGCCTGGCCTTGCCTCCCGAGCTGTATCTCCAAGTCGACTGGCTTGTTCTGTCTTTTGTGCGGTTGAATGATGAATGCATGCTTAGCCAGGAGCTGATCCAAAAAGCGCAAGAGCAGACCCGAATCTTGGCAGAACGTGGCAAGGGAAGAACCTGCAATGAGTAGTATCATGTTTTGGTGCGGTCGTGTGCCAAGTCAGTTTTTTGTGGGGTTCCTTTAAGACGCTGTGGGCTCGACATGTGCATAGCTCTCAACCATGCAAGCCTGCGGTGCCTTGACCCCTAGAGACCCGCAGTAAAGACACATGTGCAGCCCGATGCCCGCCAAGCTGTCAGAGTCCAGGTGGGACCTTGCTGCAGCTAAGGAAAGAAGTTGCCCGAGCAGGATGCAGACGCCCAGGCCATCCTGACCACAATGCTAGAGGACGGGCTGCACCAGTCTTGCTCCGGTGCCATAATCTTCTCTTTTGTCTTACTGAACCTTCTGCAGCAGGAGGATGGACAGAGCCTCTGCTAGACGATCCGGTCGGCATTTGCATACTTGTGCTTTCGACTGGAAGGGTTGAGTGGCTGACTCGCAACGTCTCAGCGCGGAGTTCTTTGCGACCTTCTCTGCCTGGGCCTTGGTCCCAAAGCTTAGGACGCTTCTTTGGCCACCTCCACCAGAGGCCTATGCACGCTTGGCTGAGGCAGCCTAGCTGAATTAGCTCTAGACGAGGCGTGATCGGTATCAGCTTGAAATCTATGAATCTATGATCTTTGCGAGTTCGCCCGACAGGCGAAGGACGTTCAGAAGTGTAGAGCTGATCAGTCATCACTTCATCACGCTTGGAAGTTGAAGTCTTTGTTTCATGTTCACCTGACCGCATCCACCCAGGAGATCAGCAAGAGAGCGACAAGGTCCAAGTACGAGGAGTGATCGGAGTTGCAGGGGTTTCGAGCCTCATACGTTCTGATCGTTTGTGAGCCTGACTTCTGGGAGCTCCTGCACGGGGATGTCGAGGTGTCATGAGGTCTCACTATGAGGTGAGGTGTCACTAGGACGAAAATGTTCGATGTGTCGCAGCTGTACAGAAGCGTGCAAGTGTGCCCCATGGAGGATGGCTGGTTCGAGTCGGTCACGACCGTCTGCGAGAACTTCGGTGCAAAGATGCAGGTGGGCTCCGATGTGGGATGCATTGACAGGGGTCAGTCGGTTGCCATCGTGATCATCACGTCTCGTGGAACGTGGGTTCGCGTGTTACTGGCGTCCGAGAGAAATCTAGGGCATGGGCCTGCAATCAAGGGTGACCTGCTTGAAATGGTTCTTGTATGCGTTTGTCTTACCGACTTGCGGGTTTGCGCTTGGTACTAGTGCGTTTCTGATGTGGCTGGGTACCCTTGTCTTCGGGAGGTGATGGTTTGTTTCGTTCTCCCAGAGTCTCTAGCTGCGTGGGTGCCCAGGGTTCAGCTGCCTGGCCCAACTGCACCCTCTTCCATCTGATTCCAGTTCCCAACTTTGGCTCAGGCACTCTTGATGACCTATCAAAGCTCACAACCCACTTCGTCGTCCCCTCTGTCGGTCCATCATCTCAGGCAAGACAAGAGATGCAGATGCTGGGCATGTCGCAGATCGTCATGCAGCGGCTGGTCACCGAGTGGCTCCGACACGACAGCATATGGGAGGCCACTGCATCCTTACTGTAGCCGGAGAGTTACCTTTCAGAGACACTTTCATTGTCGACGTTTCACCTGCATTTATGGCTGACTGATGTTTATCCACCCTGTTTGCGGGGTGACAAATGATGAGTGGTACGTACCTGCACGACTCAGCACTATGCCCCATGCATCTGCGTGCTCTCAGACCGCGGCTAGCTGCCTAGCTGACCCCTTAATACCGGTGTAATCTCGGGCCATTCTCCAAGACCTGAATTGAAGTGAAGCGCGCTTTAAGATGCATCGCCTTCCTGCCGGAGACGGTTTTGACATCAAGTCTTCCAACATGCTCCACAAAAATGTTATGTATGCCCCGACACAAAGACGCGCCCTGATCGACCCGGAAGATGGGCCTGAGTATATGCGTATACGGCCTGTACGTGAGTTTCGCAAAATTTCGCTAGCCTTGGTGCCTCATGGATGCCAGGAGACTGCTGAAGGCAGATTCCTTTTTCGGCTGATGAGCATCGCGCACGAGCAATGGGAAACTCAGCAGCTTGGAGGCGGTTCTGTGTTGCATTATCGTCAAAGGACTACGAGAGCGGCTCGCTTCCGAAGGGTTGAGGTTGGGATGGTTGGGGTCGTGCTGCAATCGGTTCTGCAGATCGATGCCGCGTGGAAAGTTCTGGGCGCAAGCGCCTCGAGTCCGCCGGAGCCGAGGTTCATGTACGAGAAGGACCCGGTGGACCCTATGAAGATGCGAGAGGAGATCAAGCTTCTCGGAAGAATCTGAGAAGCTCTGCCAGAGCCAGGGTTGGTCGATTCTTGGGAAGAGAGCGTGATGCGACATTTCCTGAAAATATCCGGAGCGTGCAGGTGAGGGCATCTTGGGTCCTCATACCTGTTCATTACTAGACCCGACAAGCTGCCCAGACCTCGGACCTGAAGCTTTCAAAGCCCAAGGATCATCAGCGAGACCAAGGCAACTCGGAAAGAATTGACCTAAAATCAACCCTGGGCCGTAACTGCAACGCGGGCTCGTCCTTGGTAAGTAGGAAAGAAAAGACTTGAAAACTCGAGAACCTGAGAAGGCAGCAAGAAAGCCTGACTTTCCATGAGCAATCTTGACCCGGTCTGCGTATGCTTGGTCTGATGATCCCAGCAGTAGCAGCGATTTCCAAGCTGGGAACTGCAAAACCCTTGCCCACGCACCATCATGACTTGTCTAATTCAGCTGCCTATCAGTGACCTGGCATTGCCACGATTGGCCTGCGAACGACTGGATGTCTGACTCAATGTTACCCAGTAGCAACGCAGCAAGTCTTCGTTCCTTCAGGCCACACCACACAAGTGTCTCGACGGGACTCCATGCTTCGGATTGTCCGTGACTAGCAGCTACAGCCTCCTCTTCCCCACACCGCGAGATGCAGCGGCCCCCAACTCTTTCGAGACTTGCGAAACGAGAGGTTGCCTGGCCTTGAGATGATCTCGCTAAGCCGAGAGGTCCCAACTCAGCCGCTGCACGATCATACCTCGCTAGGATCCGCCAACATTCTAAGCCCTGCCACAAAGGGCTGTATCCACGAACCGGCCGGAGAGTCCAGGGAGTGGTAGCCCGCCGACCTCACAAGCTTCGCCTGGGTTCTTCGAGCTCTGAGCTGTGGAGCGGAACGAGCATATGAGCAACACCGGTGACAATGGTATCAACCACAGCTTTTCATGTTGACAGATGCCGTGCTTCAACTCACGACGAAGATGACCATGAGAGAAAGAAGAGCCGAATCTCTCCGCACCGACGAGAAGCCCTGAGGTGATCCGCTTGCCCATGGGCTCCAAGCTGCAAATCTACGCGGCCAAGTCCGGGCCTCGAGCTCCGGAGATGTTCTGCCGAAGCAGTTTTAGGGTGTCAAACTTCGGGGGACGATGACTTGCAAGTGGGGTTCAGGGGTTGTAGCTAGTTGTCGGAGTGCTTGGGGTGGATTAGTTGGATTGCTGGGGCGCGGGCCGGGTGGTATGTATCTGCCCGAAAAACATCATATCAGCCTCATAGGCTCAGGATTCAGACTCGCTTCTTGGTTATCTGAAGCCTCATTCAGCCTCAGGTACCTCCAGGGCCTTCTAGAGTTCATCGACAAGACGATCGACAAGAAGGGCGAGGTCGTGGATGTCCAGGCCGAGTCAGACATGCTCGTTGTAGCGGGTAGCCGAGAGAAGCGGCGGCTACAGAGCCAAGCGAAGGGAGTGAAACATCAAAACCCACCGCAAGGTGCCGCAAGGCGTCAATGTTTCAGGTGTTTTCAGAGCTATCGTCTCCCTCTGGCTTTCAAGGCTACCGCCATGCTGATTGTTCAGTTGTCACTGGACTTTCTTGGCGCACTTCCAGTGTTAGCCACACTTGGTCTCATGGTATCTCATGGTGTTAGCATAGCTCAGAAATGCGGGACCGTTCCTTCAATGATCAGGCCAGCTGAGAGTCAGTTTCGCTGACGCGGGCTCCTGCTCCTCTTCACTGATGCGCAGTGGTGGCACCGCCAGCTCCCAGATTATGCCATGTGCCTGCTGTTGGACACAGTCCAAGCTGATTCTCTAAACGTCGAAGCGCAAACTCGGCTTGGCAAGCCCTGCAGAGCCACTGAAAGCTTGACAAACTTGTGGCACGGCCTTGTCCAGCAGACGGACTCTGCTCTCTCTTGCTCAATCTTGCAGATGGCAGGCGAGCAGATTGGAAAAAACGCTGTCATGTGACAAATGATCGATGCCGAGCCACATCTTCTCTGCCTATAAGGTCGAAGTTGACTCCAAGATGCTTTCTGCCACGTTTCACCACTCAAAGCACACAGGGCTCTGGCTTCCTGAGGGGCAGGAGATGCGATGCACCTGCAGAACCGAGCCATGTTACGTTACATTCCACTCTTCCTTCACGGGTTAGCAGTAAGTTGTGCTGCTGCGTCAACTCAGCCTTGTCTCGACAGGGGCATTTTCGCGGTCACGATTTTTTTCTGTCGGGTTGCATAGTTTCACAATGCAAGGAGTTCCTTCCTTGGTGCTTGCTGTAGCTCCTGCGCCTCGTCCATGTAGTCATGCTTTGCTGTCTGAAGGGTCCAATGCGTCGCCAGGCGCGGAAGTCTTGTCTTCGCGGCAGAAGCACGCAAAAATGGGCATCGGAACCATCAGAGTCTTCTGAAGACAAGCAAAGCTGTCACTGGAACAAAGAGGAGGCCGCCCTCTTCCTCCAAAGTCAAGTCGGGAGTGAGGGAATAGGTCAGAAGAAGAAACGCATGCTCAGAGTAGACCATGGCTTCGAATGCTTTCAGCTTCTCATTCCTGCTCAGACTATGCTGTAGTTCGTCCTGCGATTGGCGGCATCAGACCATGCACCGGACGATGGCCCAATTTTGCGCATGCGGCGGGGAAAACAGATGATCGGTGCATCGTACCGTAGTTAAGGGCGTTTTCAAAAGTGCGGGTTTAGATTCTGGTAGAACACCGTTGCAACTGGTCCGCTGTCCTGTCAGCTGGAGCTGCTGTTTTGGCAGGGGCCGGACAGGTACATGTACATGGCTGGCTTATAGACGCAGACATCGAGGTCATAATCACTGCTTTCGAAGTTGGAGCTTGCTAATTTACTGTTAGTGCCCAGGGCTCAGCGGCAGCCAGCTGGCTTGAAGTATAGCTGGCCTTTACAGGTTGCTTTTGGATGCACTGGGCATGTGGCTTCTGGCTTGCACGCGCTTTGGATCCAGTCTTCAAGTCTCCATGGTTGGAGGGGCAGGCATATAGAGCCCTGCTTCAAGAAGAGTCTTCATGGAGCCCTCGGCCAAGGCCGCATGATTCTTGTGCTCGGTTTTGCGAGGTGCGGGCCGTTGCTGCCGAATCTGGAGGGCCTCCTGTCGGCCTTCGAACCCCAGCTTCGGCTCTCCCTCCGCACTTAGATGGTTACCGTTACACACATGTGCATCATATGTTTCCATCGACTTGTCCGTTTGTCTGCCTGCCTGTCCGTCCATCCGCCTGCCTGTCTGTCTCTCCGTCTGTCTGTCCGGCGGTCCGGCTGTCCGGCCGTCCATCCGCCTGTCCTCTACAGTATGCTATGCAAGCCAATGAATTCACTTGACAGAATATTTAAATGGCATTGCAGACAAGGCACACGGACAATCGATAGATGTACAGCGTATGCTTACACACGTGCAAACCGATCTCTCTCGCTCTCTGTCCTCTTTCTTTCCCTTTCCTTCCATTCCCTTCTCTTATCTCGTCTCTTTTCTCCTCCTGTCTCTCCTCTTCTCGTCTCTTCTCTTCTCGTCTCTTCTTGTCTTTCTCGTTTCGAATCGACTCCTCTCTTAGCTCTCCCTGTCTCCGTCTCTCCTTGTCTTCCTTTCTCCCTCTCTACCTCTCTTTCTCCGTACGTTGAGAGCAGATTCAGTCAGATGAACATGCTGCTGTTGCTCTTCCTGCTGGTGCAGCTTCTTTTGCTGTTGTGGCTGAGCCTCCTGCCGCAGAGCCCGGCGTCCAGAGCTACCTTCGTATTTGGGGTTGCCGAGCAACATCTTGAAAGGTTTGGAGGGCTTGAGGGTTTGCCGACCAAAGTCTTTTTAGTGTTGCGGTCTTGCAACTGATTTGCCAATCAGCTGCATCTCCTTGCAGGATGTGGGGCTTGGCAACTACTTGTACTTCCTCACTTTAGGGATGTTGGTTGCTGTGCACCATCTCAGGGTTATATGTAAAGCTACTGTTTAGTTTTGCCAACCGCATCTTCTTCTTGTAGGGTTTGAGGTTTGCCATCCGCGATCTTCTTTTGGCGCAACTCTCGAGCATGGCACGGCAGAAAGAGAGAGAGAGAGGGAGAGAGCGTAATACCATGGCTAGATTTGACAACCAATAACATCTTGTTGCAGGTTTGGGGGCTTGCTGCCGGCTGCCCACGATCTTCGCTTAGGGTTGGTCCGTCTTAGAGCTTAGAGCTGGCCAACCACGATCTTCTTTTTAGCACCCACGATCTTCTTATCGGATTGTGCGCTTGACCACCAACATGCTCGCTTGACGGTATGCGTCTTGCCACCCACGTCTTATGCTAGGGTTTGGGGTTTGCCGACCAGCATCTCCTTTTAGAGTTTGGGGGCTTAGGGTCGACCCAAACCTCCGAGTATGTTCTAAGGTCCTTAAGGTTATAAGTGCTTGCCAACCAATGCGCTTCCTTTCAGGGTTTGGGTTTGACACCAACGAGCTTCTGTTGAGGGTTCACGGGCTTGCAAACCAACATCTCCCTTCACTCCTTTTGGGTTTCACGTGCTTGCTGTGCCCGCGATTGCTTGGAAACTGCCGCCAAGGCATCAAAGTTTGTTGGTCCGATGAAACTGTAGAGCTTTAGTTTGAGAGCGAAGACCTCAACTGCCGGAACAGTGTTTTGATAGGTTTTTTTAGCCACCTGGCAACAAGCCATCGCCCTGCCGCTGTATCTTTAGCATGATGCATAGCTAGCCCAGGCGATGGCCACAACTGTCGGAGGAGGAACTCCGGACATGCATGAAGGGGCCTAAAGTCCTTGGCGATCTTACTGTGGGGAAATTCTGATAAGTTTGCCCAATTGATCCCGAGTAGGCCGACACGCAACTAGTGGCTAGTCGGCTTCGAACCACAGAATCTGCCGAAGCTTCAGCACATTGAAGTCTTGAGAGATGAAAGCGGCTCCAAGCCGACTGCATGCCAGCTTGCCCGCCGCAGGAGAAGAGTTCCGATCCTTTTGCGCAGTGTGGCTTGGCACGACGGGGCTTTCGAAGGATGCTGTTTCTCGCACTACTTCTGCAAGTGCTCCTCGGCGTAGTCGTCCTCGTGTCACTAGCTTTACGACCTACTACTGCTACTACCACTACTAGTACTGCTGCTACGACTGCTGTTGCTGCTGCTGCTGCTACCGCTGATGCTACTGCTACTGTAACTGCCACTGCCACTACCAAAACCACTGCCACTACCAGTACTACTATTCCTACTAGTACTGCTGCTCCTCCTCCTCCTCCTCCTCCTCTGGGCCTACTCCTAGGCCAAACACTAGTAGTAGTAGCAGCAGTAGTAGTAGCAGCAGTAGCAGCAGCAGTAGCAGTAGCAGTAAAGCAGTAGCTGTAAAGCAGTAGCAGTAAAGCAGTAGCAGTAAAGCAGTAGCAGTAGCAGTAGCAGTAGCAGTAGCTGTTGCTGTTGCTGTTGCTGGTGGTGGTGTTGTGGTGAAGTAAGTAAGTCAGTAAGTGTAAGTGAGTATGTAAGGGAGTAGCCCTAAACCCTAAGTTGTTTCTTTAGCCTGACAAACCTCGTCTGACTTGTCGAGCACGAGTGACAAAAAAGGGAGTAACGACGACTGCTTCTGCTATCGCTACTGCTGCCATTACCGCCACAGTGACAAGTACTTCTATTCATTCTATTCCAGATAAAGCGCAAAACAGCTTGCAAACTGTCCAGGCCTAGACTCACCATGTTAGGCTTGAACTTTGCTTTTGCAGCCTAGCAGCGGGATACCCACACAAATTATCATGCCTCTTTTTGCCCCTACCCAAGCTCCGCACGAAGCAAGGCCTGCTTGGCCCTTTCGAGCATGATGCTGGCCATGGCACCTCGCCGCAGCTGACATTTACGATGACAGTTTATCACACTGGCGCCAATGGCGGGAGATGTTCAATGCCAAGAGACAGATTCTAGATTTTCATGTGTGAATGATATCAGACTTTCATTTTCTTATTGCAAGCTACTACACGTGACATGGCGAATACCTGCAACAGCTTCATTCACATCATGAATATCATTCTCCCAAAGCATGGTCTCTGTCTCACATGACCATTGACTCTTGAAGGCCGTATGTTCCAGTGCGGGCTTTCATACATGAGTCAGCTGTGTTTTGGCATTGTGACGATACATCGCTGCTACCGCTGATTCGGTTCTTCTTGTTCTCGTGGGCTATCCTTGTGCTCGTTGTTGTTGTTGTGGTTGTTGCTGTTGTTGTTGCTGTTGTTGTTGCTGTTGCTGTTGCTTTTGCTGTTGCTGTTGCTGCTGTTGTTGTTGTTGTTCTAGCTGCGCATGCTTCTGCTGCTGCTGCTGCTGCATCGAATCTGGCAGAAGTGTCACAAAGACGCTTCGCAAAAGCCTTGAGGCTATCAGATCGCCCTTCCATATGTCGTCATAGAGCCTGAGTTGCCATTTATGAAAGCTCATTGTTTCCACAGGTCGCAGTATGAATTCCATTGTTAGATTCTAGCTGTCGCTATTTTCTGGGGTTTTCGTGATCCAGGAGCCTTTTCATTCCGATGATGATGATTATGGCGAGGGTGATGCTTCATTCTGATTAATTCGTCTTGTGTTTGTCGTGCAGCTGGCAGGGTTCAGTTCGAAGAGCCTCGCAGTTTCGGAGGCGGATTGCACATGAAGGAGAAGGCTCAGAGGATAAGTATGCGAGACCTCCTGGCCCAGTCTTCGAGGAAGCTTCGACACTAAATTGGCCTCCACAAACGAAAGTAGTCAACTGTTCTGCGCAGTAACCTCGCAATGCGGGCTAAGTATGAGGGAGAAACAAAGTCTTCGAGAAAAACTTGGGCAAGTCCTGGTGGACAAGAGTAGATCTTGCTGCACCAGCTCCTTCAGAGAGGTCAGATGGCGTGCTACTACTACGACCTCGAGCAGCTCGCCACTATGGATACGATGCAGTCCCAAGACTGGGCCTTGATTCTACCCTCTACACAAACTATATGAAACTTTGCCATGAATCCCAAGGCGTGTTGAGAACGAAATTTGTCAGTCAACGCTTCACTTTACGTTTTGAGATGCCAGCTGCATCCTAGTGGGAGCGCTTGCGAAGCCGTAGTAGCTTCCAAAAAATCCCGAACTCCAGAAATCTACCACTGTTTTGCGATTGCTCGAGTGCAAGGAACGAGCGTACCCAGTTCAGCGAGAACTCGCTCGGTCTCCTTGCTGCCGGGCCTCTGTTCAGGATCGGTCGAACTTCTCAGCGAAGGTTGCGAGAGTCCATCATCCACGATGCCCCGAAGTCTAAATCGATCGAACTCCTCAGCGTGCGTGCGTCTCATGCCGCGCCGATGAAGCTCTTCCGGGCATACGGTTTGCATCTCAGCCTCTGGTTCACAGGGATCTTCCTCGATGTGCTTCTCTGCGGTAGAGCGCGATGCGCGGGACAGGCGGCAAAGACATGTACACTCATATGGACTCACATGCACACCAACAGAGCTTGTACTCGAAAGTTCAGCAGGATGATTCCTGCTTGGCTGCGTGAGCTTCGTTTTCGTATATTTGTTCCGAATCGGAATGTTTTCGAGAGTTGGAGGTTCTTTCAAGTAGTAGGCTGCGAGTTGACGATTGCGGCCTCCTCTTCATCCAGGGCTCTCGGGGTTGTATAAAGCGTTTTGAGGTTAGCTTTCAGTTTTTACTTTTGCTGTTTGGGGCTTGGGGGAGGTCCTTCAGAAGTTCAGGTTCTCTCCTTGCCGGCCGTGGCCCAGATCCTGAAGGATGTGGAGACGCAGGCCGACCCTTGAGGAGTTCAGGAGCCTTGCTGTGCTGATCTTTGCTGGTCAGTAATGGACTGTTTGCTTACAATCCCGACATGGTGTACAATTGGTAGCCCACCATGGCCTAATATCCATGTGACCATGTGGAATGATATGCTGGACCGGAAAGCGTTGCTGCCGAGATCGGGGTGAGGTCGAGAGCCTCATGGAGCTGCGAATCCTCCGCGACCTGTCTGTTGCGAGAACCAACCAGCATGCCACGGCCCTGGCTTTTGCGAGTCCGGCTAGTGAGGATAGTGGAGTTGAGTACTTTTGAATAGTTTGCCGTACCAGATTCCAGCAGGTGCCAGGTTCTGCAGTTTGTACTGACAGAAAGGGTGCTTCCATGCCTTAGATGCAATGTCTGCTTTTGCCCAACATGCACATAACCCGTGCATGCAAACCAACTTATGGGCTTTACCCGTCACAACGGTATACAAGTAAGTTGATGAGAGAAGCGAGCCCAATTCTGTTCGGGTGGGGCGACATGGAAACATGCCGGTGTTCAATGTGCCTTGGCCTCCGTGTCAGCTGCACAGCACCAACCTGGAAAACTGCACAAGATGTCCCAAGATCCCCTCGTTTCCAAACGGTGGCTCCCAGTTCCTAGATCTGTCTCAGGGTTGAAGCTGTTACTCCGGCACATGACGAGAATAGCAGTTTGTGTCGTGATCGTCGGCCCTAGAATCGCAGTTTGTGTGGTTCTGATTTGTGCAGGTCCGAGCTCGTCTCCGGTCACAACCATCTCGTCCGAGAGGTCGACGTTTGAAGGAGCGACACTGCGCTGAAGAAAACGAACGGATCAGTGACGTGCCACGCTTCGCAGGACCGCTCGAAACGCTTTGGGAAGAATCTCGTGGGGCTTTTCAACCAGCTGCTTGGAGCAAAGAGGGTCGCCAGAAAGAGCGTGAACGTTGCGGAAGCCGGATTGGAGGGCCCTGATTTCCATCACGGAATGCCCAGGAAGAGACCTGCGAAGCACGGAGAGAGCTGGTCGCCGATCCCACACTCCTCCAGCGAAGAGGGCCTCAGCCCTGGAGGCCGATATAGACTTGTCACTTAGAGCATTCATCAGGGTTGTCAGCCTCTGTAGTTCATCCTTCCTCCTCCTTCTTCTGCTGCGAATGTCGCCTCCTGATTGCTGCTGCAGTTGGACCTGTGTCGGACGTAGAGCATTGGGATGTTCTGCTTTACCTACTGCTGCTCCACTCATCGCTTCCTTTTTCCTTGTGCACTGGCATGATCTTGGGCTCTTTAGTGCTTGCGAAGTCCGACGTGGCCAGGGCCCGGCCACGGGCCCGGGCTTGAAACAGGCACTTCGCCGTAGTTCGTGATGTTCCTGAGAGCATGCAAGGGCACAGTGCACATCTCCGCACTGCGACTTCATGCGGTCACTTTTTCTATACTTGGAGGTTCGTGAGTAGTTATAGGTACGGTTATAAGTAGGGTAACTTTACTTAGAACTTATAACCCATATAAGTGGCCTTATGACCCCACTCATTATAACTACTCCGAACCTCCAAGTACCAGCTCGGCCTGGTGCCAGGCGGCAACGACAACGACACAAGCGTTGGCGAAACTCCTCCACAGAGTGCCTTCGTGGTGGAGAGTGGGGACCGCAAGACAATCAGCCCACGAGCGCATTAAACAGATCCCCCCTACTCACTAAAGTGAGCAGTGCTAAGATGCAAAAGGGGTTTCGGAGTTCTTTGATGCTGCCTTTGGTGGACGACCGTGTCAGGAAGTCGGTTGCAAGTCCCGCTGGGGAGGGTTGCGGTTGGGCGGTGCTTGTGTTCACGTTCGAAAAGCTTTAGCAATCAAGGATAGTATTTCTGTTCTGCTGTGTTAAGAACGGCGAGCCGATCAGCGTTACGAAAACAGTAGGAGTACGTTGCGTGAGAGCTGGCGCAAACACATGTTAGCACGAACACCTCTGCTTTCCCATACTGTTTAGTTTCACGTTGGGGTGTATTCTAGAAACAATGGGTTTTGCAGTTTTGAATTATTGCTTAGTTTTGCAGGGCTTTGAGCCCGGCGAGGATCGCACTCTGCGAGCGATGGCCGGGAAGCACGCCAGGGACTGGCAGTCAGAGAGGGTGCTGACATGAAGTCGGGGTTACAGCTGGGGCAAGAATGTGTTGGGGTCCCAAGATTGCAAGAGCAGTTGCAGGATCCGGAAAAGTCGGAAAAGCTCTGCACAACACTCTCATTACTCTTTGTGATGGCAACATGGAGCCATCGACATGTCAGTACCGGGATCAGGAGGGTCTGATGCTGTAAGCTTCTATTCTTGACCGGCTGCAAAAAGCTTGTATTCTTAACTCTCTTGAAACCTTGTGTCGCATTTACTGCCATTATGGTGTTCCTGGAATGAAGCTGCCTCTGCCGTTCCGAAGACATTCATAATCACCCAACGGAGGTCGAACTCGTGAGGTGCAGCTGGTGTAGGTAGGCTACAAGGAGAGCTCAACAGTGTCAGATATGGAGTCCATGTGAGCCCAAGCAGAAGTGTGCAGCATGATTGTGGCTTCTTTTCCGCGCTCTTTGCCCCAGCACTGTTGCGAGCTTGTCTCCAAAATTGACTGTCAGGACTTCGTGCCCGAACGGCTGCCTTGGCAGATACTCTGCAGGATGACGCGAGTTTGCCAACTCACTTGGGCCATGTGCCTTGCCGAAGCTCAAAAGATCAAGCATTCTCTCAGCAGTGCCAGAGGCCCTGATCTTTTCTATTCTCCGGTCGTGCTTCCAGTAAATATCTGCAGGTGTTCCTAGGCCAGCAAACAAACCAAATTCCATGTGTTGGCAATTTCCGTCATGGGGCGGTGCCACGTCTGATGTTGTGCAAGTTCTTCATGCAGCGAGCATTGGGTCCCCGCATCCTGCCGCGACATCTGATCCTTCAGAGCCCCCAAGTTGTCCCGCTCTCTTGCCCACGGGATCCTGCCTGTCTATATGCCAATCTGTCTCACTTCCTTCATCGAAGCCGACTTGGCCCATGAATATTTCGTGACTGTCTTCGAACGTACATATCTGTTCAACAGCCTGAATGTCACGTCTCAGACTGGTGAAGCTGTCCACCAAGGTGTGGCGTCATGGTCCTCCTGAAGGAGCTTGGCTTGGTCCAGGCAGGTCAACGGCTTGTCTCCAGATCCAAGCCTTAGCCCCCGTGGCAAGGGGGATCCGGTGCTCTGAGGTGGACTTCCAGCAGGGCAGCGCTCGGGCCCTTGCTGCTCCAGAGCCGCTGGTGCTGGAGGAGCCCTTATCTGAGACCGCCGTCGTCCTCTCGAGAGAAGGGGGGGCTTCGGGACATTTTTTTGTGGGGTTGGGGGGGATAAAGCTTATAGCTTCTAGCGTCAGCGGCTGGCAGGCTTGGCACGTAAATAGGGTTTGAGATGCTTGTTGTCTGTCTCGTGTGGATTTAATATTGCATTCTTGGTTTGTCCTTCTTTTTAGAGAGTTCCAAGCTGGGAAGGAGGTGGCTTGCGTGCCTCGATCGAACTGATAGGAGGTGCGCTTGGACTGGCCCAATGGCACTCTCTTTCTTCCGGTGCCTCCGGCTCTCAGACAGGGAGTTTGTTGGGCATTCCATTCGGAGTGTGACACAGAAATGTCAATCCATAAGCACACATATCTCACATGGCATTGGGCTCAGGCTTCAGGTGAGGGGCAACGAACTTGGTTTCTGACGGTGGTCCAGACACTGTATGTCCGTGTAGTAATAGCATTCGCAGCTGACCATGCCCAATGCACTGCGGAGGAGGCCTGTTGAATCCACAGTGATACAGTCCGGCAGAGTATGAATCGTTACAAACCCCCTGCGCAGACTTTTGCACCTTCGGCCAAACTCGGCTGCAGGTGGCTTGTTTGATTCCCCTCACAAAGCTTTGCCTGCATGCTCAGCAGTGCGTCGCACGAAATAAGACCTGCGAAGCTAAGGCCATGCTGCACTGCCCGGCTTCATCCGTGGAGCCTCTGCTGCTCG